ATGTTTTATCTGATTCATCCCTCCACCCTTTAACTTCCTTGACCTGATTGTTAATTTGCCCCTTTAGCTGGCTCACATTTTCTTGTTCAGTTTCAAGAATTTGATTTTAGATCAAGATAACAACTTGTAGCTGATAAGTTTGTAAGCTGGGTAATGTATGGAAATCATAAGGAGAAATTACATATTAATCACTTCCGGGAGTTAAACGGTTAAGGTGATATGGAAAATTCAAAATTCGTACAAATTAATCTCTGTCTGAAATTTTTGTACCCTCTGCAGAAAATGAACACACAGATTCAAGGACAAGAGAGGGAAATGTCCTCGAAAAATCCTTGTCTACTGCAGAAGAAAAAGAGGTCAAGAAGAGACGGGTTCGTAAAAAGAAACCGCGTAAACAAATGCAAGAAAACGGTGAAGTTTCAAAAGACAAAGGTAAAGAAAGGGAGAGAACTCCCGAGAACTGTGTTGATGATGGAGATCAAGCCAGGTGCGGTAAAGGCCTTAAGAAAACTCCGCAAAGAGGAGGTCCCCAGCTAGAGGGCGCTATCAAGCGAGGTGCTAAGGACTCACAAATTCCCAAAGTTTCTCGACCTGTTGAGCGTGATGAGAAGTGTGTTAAAAGACGTAACGAGTTTGTCGTAGACGATGGTGCCGATCAAGATGGTAGCGTCACAAAACACACTGAAAAGCGGAGGGAAGATATTGGTTCTAATAAAGCCGTGGAGCAAGTTAAAGACGGCAAAGAGCGTAACAAAAATCTTACTTCAAAATGCGTTGATGAGAGCAGGAAGGATTTTGTGAAATCCGGGACGGTCGATGAGGTTAGAGATATGGACAACCCCAATAGAAAAATTGTTTCTAGTGATAAGAAGGAACATGGAGTAAAATATGACACCCAAGAAAACGTGGAACTTGTGAAAGAAATTCGTGAGGTCAAGAGTGCGGTAAATTCATATTCGTTGAGGATTTTTGAAAACGGAGTTGGTTCGGTCTGGGCAGTAGATGACAAAACTACCAGAAGGCCGAAGACGTTAGCGGGAAAGCCTCATAAACCACTTCAGGCTCACGACAGAGCGGATTTCCTCGAGAAAGACTTCATTAAACACGTTGCGAAGGAGACCAAGTACTTGGATAAGTTGCAGAAGCAGACACATCCCGATAGCGAGGCAAAGAGGGAGTGGACAGTGAATGTCTGCAGAGCTGAGAATTCTGAGGATTTTGAAAAGAGAAGCCGAGAAGACGGTCGATGGGACAGCGGCGGTCTATTTTGCAGAGCGAGACCACAGTGGTCTGGTAAGGAGAACTCTGAATTAACTTGATAAAGAAAAATACAGAAAATAGTCTCAATGCCTGGAGTTGTGTTGAGTCCAAGAATCATTTTTAAAGCCTATGGAAGGAAGGGAATTTTCCAATCGCACCTTTTATGTTCAGATTCCGCGCAGGAATATTTTCTTTGGGCACTCATTCGCTTGCAATATTTATTTTTTTAAGTTTTTGTCTAGGGAAAAAAGTTAGAAACCCACTGCATGCATTTTTTTCTTTGAAGAAGAAAAAATATGAGCTACTTTCACTCATACTTTTTCATTTTATGCGCAATTTTCTCTGGCTTGAATTTCTTTGACTGTCGATTGCAAAAGCTCATCGCCCCAGTATGGACGTGTTCGGACAGGTGTGCAAGTACACTTCTTTCTCTGCCTTCTCTCACGTTGTTAAATTTTTCCCTCTTCTCCATTTATAGAAGATGTCGGCCTTCGAGCGATGGATCCAAGTGGGGAAAACAGAGAATTCGTGCAAAGCGTCGTTTTCGGGGACAACTCTGATACTCAGTCGAAAACGCAGCTAGAAGTCTCCTTCAAAACAGCTGAATTTGGTTCTAGTCGGCACGATCTACAGATCACATCTGAGGGGCATGTCGTGATCGATCCCGAGGTACGAAAGAGAATTGTCCATCCCAAATGCCCGGTGCGTGTGCCAGAAATACCGTTGGACAACTTAGACCTGAACGATCCCAGCCGACGAGAGTATCTGAATTACACTCCAGGGCCGAATGTGTCTCGGGTAAACGGATTATTTGGGCGTAAATGGGAGGAAATGATGGATAAAAAGCAGGAGAAGGAGTTCACTGAAGAAGATTGTAAGGATGAATCCGTTGCTTTCATTCGCGACTGTCCTACTTTTATGATCTGGGGAACATGCCTCCGTGGGCAACGCTGCCAATTCCGGCATCCGTCTTTCAGGTATCTGGAACGCCCCAAGCGCGCGCCGCCGAGTCCTGCCCCAGAACCTGAGCCTTTACATGAAGAACCCAAGCCGCCGAACTCTAGATCTTTCGCAGCCATCCTAAAGAAGACCAAATCTCCCGAAAACGCCAATTTCGTCAACGTTGCTCTGTTCAAAGAAGGCTCGAGCGAGGGTAGCTTGGAAGAAGAATGGCCGGCACTCAGTTCCCTAGGGAATGGGAAGTCTCCAAAGTCACGGAAGTTAAAGAGCACCGTTCAAAATGAACTCAAAGTGCAGGAACCTAAGAAAGTTGATCGCACGGGACCAGTCGGGTCCACGACTGGTCAGGCACAGATCGCAAGTGACCAACTCATTGCTGAAACGTTACAGGTTGACGAGTACGCCAAGGTTAACGATTTCAACCAAGACGATTATTTGTATCCAGCTGGTCACGATCAGGAGCTAGACGTGAACGACTATTATCCCGAGCAAGTGGAAGACATTCTTGAGGATGACGAGAATTCTTTTGACGCTAGCGAACAGGGAGGTAAACTTGTCCGTGTCGAACAGTCAGACTCTTTCAACTTTAGCCCGTTGATTATAGAGGGTAGTTCAGATCGCGCTGGGGAGCCGGACCAGACAGAGCTCTCTTCCACATGCGATATCTGCATGGACAGGCCTAAAGACGCCACGTTGATCTGCGGTCATAGGTTCTGCTACCTGTGCGCATTGCAGATGCGTGCCGACGAACGCGTCTGTGCCATTTGCCGACGTTGCATATTGTCTGTTATAAAAACGTTCAACTGAGCTAGGAACGCGTTTTTGACCAAGTGAGCCAGCGTTCCTTTCTGCGAAGCTGGTAAGAAAATGACTGCTCGTATCCACTGAAGACATGAGCTTTAAGACTGATGTTTTTCGATATGAAAAGGTTGTCAGACTCTATTATATGGTAAAATTAAGAGAAGTGCTACGAGTGATTTTCTTTTCGTGTTGAATTGACCCAAAAAGATAATCTGATTGATTTGCCTTATTAATAGGTGCTGTATTTTATTTTTGCACCATTCCAGATTTTACGATATTTCATAGTGTTCTGCGCAGGCGTTTTATGAGATTTGGCGTAACGCTTCTCCCAAGAGTCTGGTTCCTCGTAGCTTTCGCACCTATAATACTTGATAGTGCTAATTTCACAAAATTTTAATTGTTTTGTTCGCTCAATGTGGCATTTCTCCTTCAACTGCGTTATGGTTCCGATGGTTTTGTACAACCATGTTGGTAAGTTAGACTTTATATTCAGAGATTCAATATGCTAGTTACAAGACGAAGCTTAGAATAGTAGGCTTTTTTATGAAATATAGCCTATGCGAATGATTCGTACGAGAGATCAAAATTGTTTAACTTGTCGTAACCTCCAAATATTCATAAACATTGCATGGAAAGAAAAAACGAAACAAGAAAGCTTCAAACTGAGGCAAACAAGAAAACAAGTACCAGATTTTGTCAACGTTTTTAATATTTTGGAACGTAAAGAAATAGTAAAATTTACTTTTGCATTGTTATGTTTGGTACATTACATTAACATATTACGACTTGATGGTTTTGTATTACCGTTAAATTATTTTTTTTTTGGAAAAGAATTTATTATAGAAATCCCCAATTTGATGTCAATTCAGAAATCCGCTCCGTTTTTCGGCTCGAGTGATTGTGTGGCTGTACCTGGCTTGGTTCAAAATGCTGTGTATCTTTCCTTAAACATGTGAATAAAAATCACGATTTCTACGCGAAAAAAATCCGCCTCCTTTTTTCTGTTTTACCAGGCGAAAAATGTAAACAGTTAATGTAGCACATCAAGTATTATGTTTGAAGACTTGACCTGAACAATCCCCTCATTTTACAATAAGCTTGATTTATGTTAGTCTCCCTCGCAGCCGTGAACTCCGTTCCAGATTTCTGAAGACGTTTCAGCTGTTTGAAACAACGCCTTCTTTTCATTTTCAGACTTTCGTTGAGCCCTAATGAATCACAAATTTGAGACGTTTCTCGACAATTGTTAAAGGCTCAAGTATTTGTGTTTGAGTGAGAGATCTTCTTTGAAAAACAAAGTTTTTTAACAGTGTATGCTAGCCAAAGGATTGACAATGCATCAAATATTTGTAGCTAAATTGATGGTCTCGTGAAGTTTGTGTGACACACCAATACCGAAAGATTAAATTTTTTTCAGCATTGATAGGATGGCTGAAAAAATTCCAGTTGTTGTTAATCAGATCGACGTCATATCACAATTAAATTGCGTTAAATAACGTTCAGTTTAAATATAATTGTAAAAAGAAAGTTGTTTTCCCAGCTGTTTTCCTGATAGTGATATACAGACGTGAAAACTCATAAAAACGTTTATTCGTTTGTACAACGGTGCACGTTGGTGGAGTTTTTGTGCAATCTTGATCGCGGTATTCATATAGCAAGTCCACTTGGTTGAGAGTAACCCGAAGATCCTTAGTCCGGATTAACAGCTGTTCGGGAAATGTCCCTGCAAGACTGGGATCCGAAAATAAGGCAGAAATCAAGACCATAAGATCACATCAGATTACACCCGTTACGGCAAGAACGGCGAAGCGCGCGAGGTCCGAGCACGCGAGTGAAGGGAGCGCACGAAAGTCCTGAAAGGGGTTTGGAATAAAACAAAGGAAACCCTCGTGGACCTCTCTAGCAATCACGCTGCTCGCACGATCGGAACGCGCGAGCTTTGCAACTCTTGCTGCAGCGCCATCGAAGCACCAATGAGAATCTGCCCGCAGGTTTCTCGGCCACGCCGCCAGTATGCAGAAATTGAGGGACTCGATAGCGCGAGTTTCCCACCTTTATTAACTATTTACAGTCTGTAAAGCGCTGACAACAAATCCTTCCCCTGCACCTGCTATCAAATCAAAGCTCACGTACAAAACATTTCAATGTTGGGGAAAAAGGATTCCAAAAAAAACAAAAAAAAAAAATTATAAAAAAAGTCTTTGCGATGAATGACTGTATGATCCAAGGTATGATCATTGTCCTTGCGGGCTTTTGGGCCTCAAATCTTCACGCGTGTTAAACAAAGTCTCCAACTCCTCTCTTTCAAGGATGTACCCATTACAAAATCCGATTTGACCAGGCCGTGTTGTTATTTTAGCTGCAATACAAACAAAATATCGACACTCGTGTTCATTTCCAATGAATCTACACCTCACTCTTTAGAGAGAGTCCTTTCACGTAAGATCGACCTAAGATAGTGGCAGGTAGTTAAAAGCCGTGCCTGACGTAGAGCACATAGAGCATTCTTGGAGACCCACGGGCTGTCAGTCGATTTCTAGTCAGGGTGCATGCTCATCTCCCCTACCTAGAAATCGACAAACAGCCTCTGGATCTCTGAGGATGGACATAGAGCTGGGTAGCATATTGGAACTGCCACCTGCATCCACTATACTTCCAAGTTCAATCCATCTCTTTGGGTTATTCTGATTTTTTCTTGGGCAAAGCAGAGTCACGCAGTTCTTTCCACCCAGCTACAGTGGAAAAGGAAGAAAAAGATGGGGAAAATCTGGCCAGTTGCGTCCATTGCTGCTATGAATCCTGACATTACTTCACAGCAAAATGGACGATTTTTCCACACCTGTCTTCAGACCTGATTGCCATGATCCATACTCTAAATACGTTTTTATCGAAACTGACGTCAGAATTTGTAAACTTCGACCAAAAACTTAGATACAGGCAGACAGAAACGTCTAAATGCTCTTGGGGTTCCTCAGAAAACCATTCCCCTCTTTGAAACTGTGAACAGCCAACCCTCTGCTCAAATGGGATGTGAGCTCTACGCAGGCCAACCCACTATAAGATTATGGAACAAAGTGGTCAACAAAAAGAATAGTTTTAAAACTGACAAGGCTCAGAAACCATATGCTTTGTAGGCTCACCATAAAGTTTTCCCTTGTCCAGATAAGGCATGAGATTTTCGAGTGAAGAATTAGCCTGTGGAAATTAGAAAATCGTACTTGTCATAGAGAATAAGGATTGGGCTCTAGATGTTCAGAACATTTTTCCCTTCCACTACTAAGAGTGGCCACACAGGAGATTTCCTCACAACATCAAGACATTTTCAACAAGAAAGATTACGAGGGGAAAGAAAAATATCAAAGAAATGAAAGATATTGATTAATTCAAACCCAAATTCTCAGAGCTAATTATAAAAATTCTGAGGCTGCAAAGGAATCTCACCAATATACTGTTGACATATTAACCACTATAAATACAAATCAAGCTCTTCTTACCTCTTGTGAAGAGTCTTCTTTTTTGTAGTAGGAGCTGTACCTAGAATTAACAGCAAGAACTGCTATCAAAAAAGGAAAAAAAATGACACACTATACTTGGCCAATGATGGCCCACTATACACGGCCAATGGTGGCTTCCAATACAGGGCCAATGATGGCACACTACACTGGGCCAATGATGGCCCATTACACTTGGCCAATGATGGGTTGCTACACTGGGCCAATAATGGCAAACTTGCCCAATAATGGTTCATTATACAGGTCCAATGATGGCAAACTATACTCGGCCAATGATGGCACACTATACTGGGCCAATAATGGCACACTTTACTGAGCCAATGATGCACACTATACTGGGCCAAGTGAAAGAAAAATACACCGGCAGCACAAGTTTACCAAAACTGTATAAAAACTGCTTACCAGGTTTTAAAAGGACTAGAGTCCACTTCAACAATAGTTCCTTTGACCATCACACCTTTTTGGTTGAAATCTCTATGGGCTGTGTTATGAACTACACTCAAAATAGGACACTCAAATTCTATATCTACAAAGACAAAAATAAATAAATGCAGTCTATTGGGTTGGGTGATTCAGCAAACAAAGAAATATTCAAGTGGCTTTCTCGTGTTAGCTGAATGAACTGACTTTTTGTGTACATTTAACAATTATTTGCCGAAGGTGAGGTGAATATCATTGAATAATCCCAAGACGAAGTTGAGGGGATTATTCGACAATATTCATAGCCTGCGAAGCAAGCCCTGGGGGAAAGGAGGGGAATTGGGGGAGCGGAATGTGTGGAGGGGAAAGGGAGGGCTCTCCCCTCCACACATTCTGCCCGCCCCAATCCCCCCTCCTCTCCCCCAGGGCTTGCTTCGCAGGCTACAATATTCACCGAGCCTGAGGTGAATAATTGTTTTAGTATAATTTCAGAGCTGAACAACAAAGAAATTTCTAAAATCATAACATTTTAGTAACATTTATTAACATTTTATATCAACCGCGTGGAGCGGTTTATATTATGTCATATAAGGAACCGCTTGACCAATAAGATTGCTGGAAACTCTTTGCTCAGCTCTGAAATTATACTAAAATACAATACACATTTTATTGGCCATTCATAAATGAAAATTAATACTTGTTTAAAAAATATTTTAAGATGGCAAGGGGGCCTCCAGATACCACAGGGTGTATATTAGGGAGGCCTCCTTACAAGGGGAAAAAAAAAGAAAAAACATATGTACCATATATGCAAGTGATATTACTGATGTTAATCATCACTATATCTATCCATTTTATTAATATCAAATAATATTGCCCAAACGATACACCTTTTCCCTTCAAGTGATCCTGGTTAAAATATCATACCTAGGGAATTCCAAGCGTAGATTCCACGATTTACTTGCATGGCTTTGATCTTTTTGTGTCCACCATATGCCTTTCTTGGTTCAGTTTCCTCTGGTTTGTCTGGCTTGAGCTGAAGTTATATAACAAAAAAAAAACATGATAACCACAATTAGTTGGCTGTGGTATTTTGAGGCCATCCACAATTCCTGAAAAAAAGAATTGTCATAAACAAAAGCTTGTCACAAGTAATGAAAAAA